AGGGGGTGGGAGAGGGTCCGGCCCACACTGCACCTGGGCTGGGATTGGTCCCGCCGGCGCAGGGTAGCAGGAAGCTCTCCACACACTCACCGGACCTGGGCTAGGACTGGGTCTGGGGGTTCCCAGAAGTGCAATGTTGTCATTTTGGCACCTGCCTGGTGGCCAGCATGTACAACATACCCCACAGCAATATACCTTGTTTTAAAATATTCTATTAAAAAATAAAATAAAATATTCTATTATTTTAGAACTGGTACTGATAGATTCTGACCCTAGTATGAATTGCTGAAATCATCATGGTGGTCATCTAATATGACCGATGCCCTTAAAACAAAAGCCCATCTTCCCCAAGACCACCTCCACCCTTCTTCTCCAACTCAGCCCAGGGTGCAATTTCCTTTCACCCTTCCTGCCACCTCAGGGAAGACCCCAGTCAGCTCCCTCAGGTATATGTTAATATCCTCTTCAAACTCCACCCCTGACAGCACTGAACTGGGGTCTTGCAGGGCAACCAACTTTTCTTATTGCCCAGGGAAAGAAGCCTCTTTTCAGAGCTGTGTGTTTTCTCATATAGTGAATGCAAGGGATTAACAGTAGAGTGGGAGAGATTAATGACTAGAAAGGATCAATTCTATGTTTGGTAAGTATAGTTACCAATTGCATGCATACTGAAATGAGCTCTCTTCTGAAGAAAGTGTAGGTGCCCTTATAATTTCTTTGCTAGAATATTTAATCTTGTCACACTGTATTTACTTCTTGGGATGTTTTAATGTATAACTACATAATGCCTTCAATCTTACCAATCTTATTTGCTGTCTTAGGACATTCTTAACATGAAAATAATCAGTACAAAGTTTAAAACCTACCTTAATGGTGATTACAATTACAAAAAATATAGAATCTTTTATATTTTCTTTTAATGCAGGATAGACAGTTGCATTGTGGTAACAGCTAATTCTTAAATATATCTTAAAATTGATGTTCTTTTTGTTTGTTTGTTTGGTTGGTTGGTTGGTTGATTTTTGGCTTTTTCAAGATAGAGTCTCACTCTAGTTCAGGCTAGCCTTGAACTCACTATGTAGCGCAGTCTTAGCTCAAACTGGTCATCCCCATGCCTCATCCTCACAAGTGCTAGGATTACAGGTGTACACCATCGTGCCTACCTACAATCTGGGTGAAATGTTATGAATCTGCTACCAGAGGTCTGTAAACATAAAATTTTATGTGTTACATTTTCCTATAGAGAGTAGTAATAGTTTCTATTATTCTCAGAAAGAGAAGTTAGTTAGCTAAAAAATTTAAACCTGCTGTCTTAAAATATAATAACTGATACCTAATCAAGAGAGAGTTTGGAGGACTAACATTTGAGAGTTTGAGCTGGACGGGAAGCACAGTATCAGAATGCTTGCTTAGTGTGTGAGGCTCCAGGTTCAGTCCCCAGCTCCACCCATGTGCACACGTACACACACATTCAATTTGTGAAATATTTAAACTTAATCTTATCTATTTCCTTTTAGAAAGCGATATATGCTGCAACACAGCAATTAGGCTTACAGCATTGGCCACCTCAGAAAGAGAAAATTATACAGTTCCATAATCAACTTCAGGTAAGTGCATTAGCAATTCATTGTCTGGACTTTAATAGGTAAGACCAAGGAGGAAGTGAGAATAACAGCCGTCTTCAGAGCAGAATTTTAATTATTTATTTGCTTTCCTGGATTTTATCCTCACCCTAACTCCCAACAAACTAACCTCCTGCCTTCAGCCCCTTAACATGTTTGTAAAAACCCTACAAATGTAGCGGAGGATACTCTGCATCCTATTACTGTACTTTACTCACATTTTCTGTAATATATGGTTCAAAGAAGTGTCATAGACATCATAATTTAAAGTTATGATGATTTTAATACTCAATTTGACATAATTGCATTTTTAATGTTGTCATTTTGCCACCTGCCTGGTGGCCAGCATGTATAGCATGCTCCACAGCAATATACCTTGTTTTAAAATATTCTATTATTTTAGAACTGGTACTGATAGATTCTGACCCTAGTATGAATTGCTGAAATCATCATGGTGGTCATCTATATGGTTGATACCCTTAAAACAGAGGCCCACCTTCCCCAAGACCACCTCCCCTTTCTCCAACTCTGCCCAGGGTGCAATTTCCTTTCACCCTTCCTGCCACCTCAGGGAAGATCCCAGTCAGCTCCATCAGGTATATCTTAGCATCCTCTTCAAACTCTACCCTTGACAAAGGGCTTGTAATAATACTGTGTAGATATGATATCATGTCTGTATCATGTCCTCTGAATACCTATTATGAAGACAACAATATGCAATGTATTAATTATTGTAACTGCCTTATTAACCTATTTTGAAACTATTCATAGCTATTTTATCTTTTCTCATTAAAATGAATAAAAGAAAAAGTTTGCCATGCATTTAAACCTTTGTACCTCCCACTTGAAAACCTGTATGAACTAAGCCCAAAGCCGGCTTTAGGCTGATGCTTTGGGAGCAACCCCCATCAGCCTGCTGGCGTCATAAAGTTGGTTGCCTTCCAATTCCTCGATGCACAGTGTTTTTCATTCAATTTGGTACTGATAGGTTTTTTCAAGCACCCCACACAGCAGAAAAATAGGCAGAAGAAGGGAAAGGGGTTTTATTTTCTTTGAGGACAAGGAGAGAATTTGGAGAAGATAAGGAATTCCTTGGAGTTGAACAAACAAAGGCTGAGGTTCTTATGGCCTTTTGAAATTTTTGTTGCATTTTTTAATCCCATTTTTAGAAATATTTTCAACTCTATCTTTGTAAAGATACTCACTACAATTTTTTAATAAAATCTATAAATGTTTGCATGGCTCATTTTTATTTTTTGTGAAATTTTTATTTAAGGTATTAGGTAAGTACTGTTTTCCCCGAATGAATAATCAGTTTCCCAAGACTTTTCCTCAGTGATGTGCTGCTTACATAGTATACCAAATGCTTTTATTTAAGAAGGCTGAGGTTTTTATTGATATTGTTGTATATAATGTTCTTTGGGTCTGTTTCTGTCTTCGTGTGTGTGTGGGTGTGGGTGTGGGTGTGTGTGTGCGCACCTGCACACATGCACATGCACATGCACCAGGGATCAAACTCACGACCTTGCATTTGCTAGGCAGGCGCTTGTGCCGCTGAGCTCTCCCTGGCCCTATTTCTGTCTTTGTGTCTATCATAGCTTTATAATATGTCTTTATATCTGGTGGTACCAGCCTCCTTTTTTTGTTAATTTTCCAATTTTTCTTGGTTAGTTTTGGCCCCTTCCCTTTAGAATCAGCCCATTGACTTTTATCAAAAAATCTATTCAGGGGAGGCCAGGGAGAAGGCTCAGTAGAATAAGCACTTCCCTGGTAAGCGCAAGGGCCTGAATTCAATCCCTGGTTCTGAAAAAAAAAATCTGTTCAGGTTTTGATATAGAATTGATCAATAATTATTGGGAAAGTTTTCATCTTAAGATATTACATCTTTTCTTCCACAAATGTATTTGTTTAGCTTTTATACTGTTTGTCAAGTTAACCCATCACAGATTCATAGTGGAGGAAGATACTAGATTCCTGAGGTAGACACAAAGGATAATTTTCTACTAACATTAGTAGTATCCAGAATAATATCATTTGTACCAATTCTGCAAAACTTAATTCCCACAGGACACTATAAGGACCATGCACTCAAGGTAAATTGTATCACAAAAGAACCCTAAGCAGGGAAGCACTTATTCCACTGAGCCATCTCCCTGGCCCTAAAAGAACCCTAAGCGTAAGAACCTCTAATCTTATTAAGTTACTAGCATAAAAAATGTTCAACTTTCATTCCTGAAGTACATATATTTTTAAATTCTGAGTAGAAAAGTTGCCCTCAACTGGGGCAGTAGCTCAGTGGTACAGCATGTACTTAGCATGTACAAAGTTTAATCGTGAAAGAAATAAATAAATCCCAAAAGAAACTGTCTTCCAAAGCTTTTTTTCTATATAAACATCTTTGGAAAAATAGTCCTGAACAGAGTTGTTAGTGCATTTTTTCAGAAGGTTTATGGGAACATCAAGGACACTAAGGAACTGTGGGAGTATTGGAAATCAAAAAGAGCCACCTTACAGCCAAGACTATCCCTGGTTTATCCCTTGTCTTGACTTCTGGTGAATCACCCCCATGATCTTGCTATTCTATTGTCCACTCTAATTAATCTTACTGATAGGGATAAAAACAAAAATGCATTCGTTTTATCTTGCATGGGATTTATCTAAGGCTTCTGTCAGCAGAACACCCAGTATCAGGATAATGACCATGCAGGGTTCTAGGCTCAAACAGCCAAATGCACGCCATAAACATCAGCCTCTGCCTTAAGAAGCCAGATGGATTTCTCCTTAAGGTCCCGTGTTGCCCATTCCTGATGTCTTTGAAACATTAATCCAGAGTCAGCAAGATTTATTTCAATTGCATGACCTAGGAGGGCAAAATGCAATTCCAACCGCCATAACAACACTGACTAGAGTTGAGGCTATCTGAATGACTGCCAAGGTCTAAGTGATATTTCTTAAATACTGGAGATTTAACATTCTTATAATTACCCAAAGATGCAACTGAATTGTTTTTAGGAGGGAAGCAGGTTTTTTGTGGTTTTTTTTTTTTTTTTTTTTTTTTTTTTTTTTTTTTTTTTCGGGGGGGAGGAGTGGGTTACTGGGAATCGAACTCAGGACCTTGCACTTGCCAGACAGGGGCTGTACCACTGAGCTATCTCTCCAGCCCAAGAGGGAAGCAGTTTAAAGTATGGCTTTTTTTATGTAAGAAATGCAATCTTAATAATACACTTGGTTTGCTCAGAAGTTTCACAGTTTTGAAGGTTTCTTAAGAGGAACTCATATCAGGTCAGGTGAGAAGTCTTTATTGACAGTGTACCGAACATGGCGCTCAGGGGCTGGGCATGTGGCTCAGTGGTAGAGTTCTTGCCTCATGTGCACGAGGCCCTGGGTTTGATCCCCAGCACCACACACACACACACACACACACACACACACAATTCTATGCAACATTGTCCTCAGGTCAGTGCTGGAAACTCACCTTAGTTCTTGTTTCTGAGTGACTGCTTGTGAAAGGTCAACTCAAACTGATCTGTGTGCCGTGAGGCCATTTCTCTGTCTCATAGATGACTGAGTACAGGAATAGAGGTGGGAAGGGCATCAGAGACATCTGCAGGTGTTGACTGGTGTTTTTCTTAGTAAAGCCCATTCCTGTTTCTGATAGATTCTCAGTAAGGTTAAGCAAGATAATCATCAGATCCTATCATTTCCAAAATTTAGCTAAGTTAAAAAGGCCTTCTTGGTAATATGGACATTTTTGCTTTAAAGACATCTAGAGGAACAGGTATGAAAGACAAAGCACCTTTAATACCCCTCCCTCCTGGGTGATCTTCCCAGAATTTGAGGAATGTCACAGACTATAATGAATTGCCTCTGAGTAAAGAAGTCAAGGTACTTCTTCTGGTTTTTGCACTCCTTACACTGCCACAAAACTGGTGTGTCCCATTTCAGTAGTTTTAACCACAGCTCCCTGTCAAGCATTCCCGTCTTACAATTAGCCACTCTGTATCCTGAAAGGCTGAGTGCAAGAGATCCAAGGATGGTTGATAAAACTTTCAGAGAATCATTGTGTTCCCAAGTTGCCTTATTTGTGCCGTTGAGGAAGGGCTCAGCTGGCAGCATGCTCAGCCAAGTGGTCATTATCTTCAAACTGAAAATATCTGTGTAATTGAAACATAGTTAAATTTGAACTTTAGTGGGCCTCATATTGGTCAGTCTATTGGCCTGGGGTTGCCATTAATGAAAAGAAAGAAGCACCATGCCTAGGAACGGTTGGAACTAATCTCACATTTTCAAAATGTGTCTGTATAATTTTACTTCTTATACTGACATTTCCCAGAACACAGATGAGAAAGGTGACCTTTTTTGGGCACATGTATATCCAGTCAAACTTTCTTGTATAGTGTATGGTCAAAAAGAGTGAGAGAAAGATAGACTCAAAAATCTTTTTGAGGGGCCAGGGAGATGGCTCAGTGGAATAAGTGCTTCCCTGGGCAAGCCCAAGGGCCTGAGTTCAATCTCTGGTTCCACCAAAAAAAAAAAAAATTATATATATATATATATATATATATATATATATTGAGTTAATTTTTGAGGAGTCCACATCAATGCTCAGTATAAGCAGATGTTTATGGATTGTTGGAAATGTGAAAGGTTCATCAGCCACCTTGATCCTCTGCACATGGCTGAATGACTTTTGGGATAAAATGTACTCCATTGTCAGATGACAAGTGGTCCAGAAATTCATATGTACGATGTAAATTAATTTCAAAAAACAATGCTGTGGCTAGAGGCACTGATTGGCAAGGAACATGACTCTAACCTGAAGAATTTCAACACCAGTGAGGCACCCCAGTATCCTTTAGGCTATTGAGATATAATGTAGCCAACTTTTGAGCAGTCTCTTGAATTCATCCCAAGTTCATTGTGGCTTTTCTCTCTGTAAGAAAACTATATCAATTTTTGGCAAAAGTCTGAAATGCAATAGTGTCTTGTCACTCTCCTTGTTACTGGGACAAAATACCTGACACTGACAACTGAAGAGAAGAGAGGTTTATTTTGGTTGAGAGTTCAGAAAGTTGGCAGCATAGTGGAAGGCCTGGGAGAAGAAATGTGCTCACATCGTGGTAGTCAGGGAGCAGAGAATGAAAGGAAAAGCCAGAAAGGGAGATACACCTTCCAGGTCCTTCCCTCAGTGACCCACCTCCTCAACCAGACCAGACCTCCTGAGTGTGGAATAATAGGTGTATCTCCCTGGCATGGCAGGCCAGACTGCATCTAGTAGTGACCAGCTCTAGTAGTGACATGATTCAGTCACCTTATAAAGCCTGAGCTACAAGTGCATGAACTCTTTAGGGGACATTTTCCATCTAAATCGCAACACAGACTTAATTGGTAGCTTGATTCTGGGTAATCTCATCAAAGTATGGACCCTTACCATGGTGAGTGGGGTTTTGTCAGCAGCCATCATTTATTTCCACACTCCATAGTCCCAAGTATGTGTATTCATTAATCTCCTTCAAAGTTTTCCAGGTGATAAAAAAAAAATACCCCGAGGAAACCAGACAGACACTTTACTCAGGGAATCTTTGTGAATTAAGCATCATTCCAGGAGATTAACCATGGAAAGAGATTTACCACAGAAGGACAACCACCACTCTTTCATGACCCATTAGTGTCAGGCCAGCTGTGTTCTCAGTCAATTTTCATTTTATAAGAAGGAGTTTTTTGACTCTTCTCACCTTGTTAGATGCAGAGTCTATAATTGTTAGGTCAGAGAAGCACAAGAGAGCCCTGGGAAGGTAGAGATTGTAAAGTTAGTGAAAAGCTATTTTAGCTTCATCCATATTTCATTTGAATATATTTATATGATATATACATTACCTCTTTAATGCTATTACAATAGTTTAAGATAGACTTGGCTGTGTCTTAGTCATCTTAGGCTGCTGTAACAAAAATACCAGGCTGGTGGCTTAAAGATGTACATCTCAGAAGGAAAAGAGAACATCGGATACTAAGCTGCTCAATATCAAGAACTGAAAATTATTCTTTGAATTTTGAAATTAATATATTTTTACGGATTTTAATATTAGCCTGCTCAGTAAAAGCAAAAGCCAAATTACAATGGATTAAACTATAATTTGAAGGAAACACGGATGTATTTGTAGATAAACTTTTTGAATGGTTTACAAATAATAAACCTGAAAATTTTGTTTTAGGCTTGTGTTGGTGTGATGTTATTGGGCCCAACAGGTGGTGGAAAGACAACAGTCAGAAGAATTTTGGAAAAGGCATTAATACTATTGCCAACTGTAGATATCATCTCAGTTACAGGCAGTGAATCCACCTCAAAGGTAAGTTTTGTACTCAATAAATGCTTCTCCATTTATTTACATTTTCTGAATTTTTTAAAATTCTTCTAAGTATATAAACATAGTTTTCACCTCTTTCCTTCCAATGTGCCTTAACTTATTGTTTAAAAACCCAGTTAGTTAACTCCAGTATAGTGTTAAACAGAATCCTTGTTTTGTTCCAGATTTTAGGGAGAAAGCTTTCAGTCTTTCATAATTGAATGTGACATTAGCAGTGGATTTTTCCTAAATATTCCTATGTTAAGAAAGTTCTCCTTAAGGATACTATGAGTCCAAGCTGTGTAGTGAGACCCTGTACCAAATACATTTAAAAAGGGGAGGAGCAAATAGCTCAGCAGATTAAAGCATCTGCTTAAGCAGATGCAGCAGTCAAGGTTCAATCCCTGGCGTGTGGTGACAGCCCTATCTGCAGGACATGCTGAGATGGTGATTGAGACTGGGCATGGTGGTGTGCACTTGTAATCCCAGCTCTTGGGAGGCTGAACACAGGCAGATCACTATGTGTCTGATCTACATAGTGAGACCCTGTAGTCCCTATAGACCCTGTACTAAAAAAAATACAAAAAAAAAAAAAAGCTCTACTTATATTTCTCATGTTCTGAGTGTTTTTTTAATCATGAAAGCGTATGGGAATTTGTCACATTATTTTTCTGTGGTTTTTAATATGACCAGTGTAGTTTCTTTCCTAATTCTATTATTGTTTGTATTGTAATTATTTTCTTATATTTTCATCCCTTGCACTCCTGGGATGACTCCCACTTCATAAGGAATATTGATCTCTAGGTTTTTTGCATTCTCACTATTTGGGTCTGGTATCAGGGTAATGTGACCTCACAGAATGTGTCAAGAAGCAGTCTTTTCTTTCTTCAAGAGTTTGGCAGAATTCATCTATTTCTGGGGTTGGATTTTCTTTATTGAAAATTATTTATTACTGATGCAGATTGTTATTTGTGATAGGTCTGTTGAGATCTTCTATTTCTTCTTTGGTAATTTTCATGTTTATAGGAATTTGTCCACTTCTTATATAGTTTCTTGGTATAAAGTTGTTCATAATATTCTCTTTCTGTAAGGTAGAAGTCATGCCCATAGTTTCATGGGAAATATCTTTTATTTGTGTCTTCTCTTTCTGCTCAGTTTTGCTAAAACCTTATTGATTATGTTTTTCTTTCAAACAGCCATGTTTCTTTTCTTTTTTTTTTTTTCCTTTAATGTATTTAGTACAGGGTCCACAGTGTCTCACTACACATATGGGACTCATAGTGATCCTCCTGTTTTCAGCCTCCCAAGCTCTGGGATTACAGGCACACTACCACGCCCAGTCTCAATCGTCATCTCAGTGTGCCCACGGCATGCTGGGGATTGAACACTGGTCCATGCATCTCCCTATGCAGGTGCTTTAATTCCCTGAGCTATCTGGCTGTCCCTGAAACAACCATATTTTGATATTGATTCCATTGTTTTTCTATTTACTATTTTTTGTCAGTTGTCTGTTTCTTTATGATGGGCTTTGGATATAGTGTTCTTCTTTTGCAGTTTCTTAAGTTGTAAAGTTGAGTCACTTATTTGTTATCTTTGTGTGTGTGTGTGTGTGTGTGTGTGTGTGGCCTGCTCAGCCCACCCCTGGGACGGAGCTGGCATGGCATGTGGTGCTGAGGATCACACTACTGTCCCTGCACTTCCCTTAGCTTGCCTAAGCAGATGCTTTAGACCGTTGAGCTATCTCACCAGTCTCTCAGATCTTTTTTTTTTAATGTAGGTGTTCACAGTTACGATTTTTCTTCCTTTGACTTCTCTTACTGCACCTCATAAATTTTGGTATATTGGTATATTTTGGGTTTATTTCATACATCTCAAAGTATTATTTAAATTCTCTTTCAGCAAAGTGGACTGGGTTGTTTAAATATTTACAAATTTTCTAATCCAAATTTTCTTTCAACAAAATGGATTGGGTTGTTTAAACATTTACAAGTTTTCTAATCCTGATGTGTTTGATTTCTAGCTTCACTTCACTATGGTTTAAAAAGGTATATTATTATTTTAATCTTCTAAAATTTATTAAAAGTTGTTTTATGGCCTAACATGTTCTATCCTGGAAAATGTTCCATGTGCAGTGCAGAATATGTATACACCTTCTCTGGTATTGGGCAGGGTGTGTTTTGTATGTCTGTTAGGTCTAGTTGGTTTATACTGTTATTGAAGTCCTCTGTTTCTTTACTGATCTTCTGTCTGTATGTTCTATTCATTCTTGAAAGTAGAATGTTAGATTTCTAAGTACTAATGTAGAGTTATCCATCTCCTCTCTTCAGTTTTGTCAGTGTCGCTTTATATACTCTCAGACTCTGCTATTTGATGCGTATGTGTTCATACACATTGCATCTCCCTGGTGCATTGACTCTTATGAGTAGGACATATCTTTGTTTCTAAACAATTTTGAATTAAAATCTTCTTTATTATCTTTTAGCTTTTTTTTCTTTTTTCATTCTTTCAGTTTTATATATGAAATGCTTTTAATTATCACTTCTTGTTCACATTATTTGGAAACAAATTTGTTTCATTTCAAGCTATTTAAACTGTATGTCTTAATTAAGTCTTTTATATGCATCACATATTACATATTATGGGTTTTTTACCCATTACACTAATATTTTCCTTTTAAATGATACATTTCATCTATTTCTATCAAAAATTATTACTGGGGGCCAGTTAGATAGCTCAGCAGATTAAAGCACTTGCTTAGGCAACACGGGCCAAGGGCTCAATCCCCAGCCTTCTGTTCCAGCCCTGCCCCCGGGGTGCACTGGAGATGGCAAATGAGACTGGGCGTCCCAGTTCTTGGGAGGCTGAAAAACAGGCAGGATCACTATGGATCTGGTCTGTGCAGTGAGACCCTGTAGATCCTGCACTAATTACAGTAAAAATAATTACTGACAGTGATTAGTTTTTTTCTTGTGTGCCATTTTAATCCCACTTCATTTCTTTTTCAGTATACTTTTAGTCATTTTTCTTGGCACTTACTGACTTTCTCATATGTATTTTCCATGTATTTTAATAACTGGTAAAATTTGGCCAGTATGTCTACAGATCTTTTTCTGCCCATTTTCTCTTTTCTTCTAGGGTTCCCATTGTACATAGACTGATATGCTTTGTGATGTTTATAGGTCCCTTAAGCTCTGTTCAATCATTATTCTTTGCTCTCCTCAGCACTGGTAACTTCAGCATCCTTCATTGTCTCATTAAACTTCTACCTGCTCAAGTCTGCCTTGAAACACCTTTACCATTTAGTCTACCATTAAATTTTGTTTACTATTGTAGCCTTATATGTTTTGTTTGTTTCCTTTTTAAAATTTTGATCCCCTTGTTTTGATATTTCTACTTGTTTTTGCAAGTCTTCTCAGAATGGATCATCGGTGGTATAGTTCTTCACTGGGCCTGCTGTGAGTGAAGGGCTAACATGAAGTGGACACCTGTGGTCTCAGCGCTCCGGTGCATGCATCTTGACTGTGGCTTTCACAGCTCATCAGTATAAACAGTTGCTTTTGCTTCTCTTAATTTCCCAAAGATTTTCACCCAGGCTTTCCCTGGGGCCTTGGGGTGTATGTTGTTTCCCTTGCCTGCAGCCCTATGGGTCTGTGGTTCCCTGCAAAAGAGCTTGCCACTTTCCTGAGGTCTGAGCTAGTGGAGCCAGCTTTGTGCTTCAGCAGCAAGTCAGGCTAGAATGTCCTCCTAGGTGAACACCAGCTCTGCTCTGAAGCTTCCAAGGAGTCCCTGCCTTCTCCTCTGTACCCTCAGCCTGGCTCCAGAGTCCACATCCCAACTCAAACATCAGTTCCTGGGTAAGGCACAGTGAGGCTCCTTTTGTCTCTTTGGAAGAACTATTTGTACTTCAATTTTTAAATAATAATGTTTTGCATAGTGTGGCTAATTTTAATGTCAATTTTACTGTTTCTTGTAAATTGTCACCTTTATAGAGAATTTTTCTTAGTTGCGAGGAAATTCTTCCAAAACCTCATAATAATACTAAGAGCAAAAAAAGAAAAGATAATTATTTCATAGCTAATAGCTTTATAAACCCCACTGGAATTACCTCAGGTCCCAGGAAGAAAAGGAAAAGTCGATATCTGTGTTTTAAATCCAAAGTGCATCACTCTTAATGAACTATATGGACGACTGGATCCTAATACTATGGAGTGGACTGATGGATTATTATCAATAGCAATTCGAAATTATGTGTATTTTAACACCACAAGGTACTCAAAGAAAGACACTGACCTTGGACTAAAATCAAGACTGTTAGATTTATCAAAAGTAAGTTTCCTATGGAATAAGTATTTATTTAAATAATCTGGATTATTTGTCTATTTGAAGACTGACATTAAACCATCATTAGATTCCTATTAATATTAGAGCAACTTAAAAGTATTATGAAGTTTTAGAAAGAGAATAAGTTATTTTTAAAAACTGAAAATATGCTATTGAGTTTTACAATGGTCAGTAAGCTGTGAATGAAGTTAAAGATACTTGCTTCAAAAGGAACACAAACTTTATTGAGTCTAAGTGGAAAATGGTCTAGTGATTATGACACCACCGTGTACTACCAATTAACAAGGGAAAAATACTTCAGTAGAAAACTAAATAAAATATTTGATATAGAGTTCATCAAAGAATACATATATATTGCCAATTTTTATAAAGCTGTATTTCTGTTAGTAATAAGTATGATTATTGGTAAAAGCTAAAATGTATTTTTAAAGGATTATACATGAAACAAAGGATGTAAGAAATTATTTTTTTAAATAAGAAGTAATAGTCCATATTTACTAAATTATGAAGTAGAAATTTGAATAAAACTCAGAATGACTATGGCAATACAGTCAGCCCTCTTTATCCAAAGTCTTTTTATCTGCAGAGTCAATATTTGGAAAAAAAATAACTGCCTATAATGAATTATGCACAGACTTATTCTTAAACAATATAGAATAATAGCTATTTTCATAACATTTGAATTGTATTGGATACCACAAGTGATCTAGAGTTAATAAAATTCATACAAGAGTGTTGTAGGTTATATGCCAGTACCTTCTCCCTATGGGTAAGTATTCAGTCCAGAATTTGACAATATGTTTTAGCACCACTTTTGTAAATGAACTGAAAAACAGCTCGAGGTCCCTGAAATTGTTCCCAAAGTCTTGGGCCACTTTAGCCATATTAGCAATGAGTTGGGTATGTGGGCTGAATTGGCAAGTACTCCATATACAAGTCCTCCCAATGTAGCTAGAAGGGGTGTAACTACTAGAACAAGGAGGAGTAACAGGCTCTTGCTTTTGTTGAATAGATGTTCAGTGTCCTGTATAAGAATTTGTTCTAATTGATCTAGGTCAGGGCAATTAAAAGGCAATTACAACATCAGGATGGGGCCTAGCTGAACAGCCCCCCTATTTCCCTCACATTTTTAGGGATTAAGCACTGTACCCCCCCCCAAGATGAAATTTATCTCAAATTAGGGAATTCCCATAGAAAAATACAAGGGTAAGGGGGGGTATAGAAGAGCCAGAGCTTGGTTCATGAGATTGGTTGGAGGTAGATTTTGGGGCATAACCTGAATGAGCCTTCTTTGAGGGACAGTACTAAAAATACTGTCAGATGAATGGATTTTTCCCCTTTTTCAAACCATTTTTAAGAGTCTAGTGAGTGTTTCCTGTCTTCTTTTGTTATGGTAGAAGGAAAAATCTAGCCTTAAATCTATGCCTCATATCCAGTCAGATATGTCAGTGCCTTCTATCACACCTCTGCTAGGGACCCTTGTTAAGATAATTAGAGGGTTTGGAGCCTTCAGGGACACTTGCACTTACTTAAGATATTGTGGGTGATGGATTAGTTGGATATTACCCTAGGTGGGAGGGCATCACCATGTGGGGTCTATAAAACAGAACCAACAATTAGAATACCCTGAGATCAAGGCCCCTGCTATCTGGATGAGTGAGTTTCTATGTCACCCTATTGATTCTAGTGGGTGTGTCTGTCTCATTGAAAATGGACAGAGGATGGGCTCAGATAGGGTGGGTACAAGTTTGACAAATTATCTCATCCCTGAGGCAGAGGACAACTGAATTGGAGCCACAACAACATTATAAGTAAAGCACACAGTTAAAATGGAACCTCTGCATCAATCACAGATAGCTTCCTCTTGTAGAAAACACAAGAATGTAGAAGCAAAAGATATTTGTGTTGGGATAAAGTTAGAAAAAGAGCCCTGAAATAAGAGCTGATGTGTAGGTTACTGAGGTCTTATTTGATGACTATTGAATAAAATTGTACCTCTTGAGATAGAATGTATAGGAAATCTTGAAATTGAGATAAGGATATAGATGTCACCTCTACCCACAGTAAAAAGATTTTAGCATTACTTACCTTTGTTTTATCTTTCACAGGTTTACAGGTTTAGGTGGTCTCAGATATGGCTTTGGAATGATACAGAGGTAGCTCTCAGAAGCAGTTCACAGCTTCATTCTGGAGTGATGAATCTAAGAATTGTGTCTTGTCACCCTAACTGTAGTATAGATAGAAAGGATCACTGTGTAGGGGTCTTCCTATTGAGGGTTGCTTAGGTCTTGTGTGTCTAGGGCCTTGACCAGTATCAAGATTGTGGAGCAGAAAAGAGGCTTGCTAGATGGAGTATACCAGTGTCTGTTTGCCTCAAGGCTGACAGGATTTGTTGGAACTGGGTAAGGACCCGGTTCTTAATGAATCCCAGAACTGCATCTGAGGCACTGACCTGGAAAATGGCTAATAGGATCTTGCCAGTGTCAGGCCCTACTTCTCGGTATGAGTGGAGTCACAGGGCTTGTCTGGCACTGTGTTTCAGCATAAGGATCTGGAAGTGGGTTTCAGGTCTGCAGTCTAGACTTAGTCCATCCCTCCTCCAGGCATGAGGTGTTTCTTTCCATGACACCTGCTTGGAGTTAGAGAAAGAAAACTATTTCATTCCTGCCTTCTCTTTAATCTGTCTTTTTTTTGCTAAGCCAAGGCTCTGTGTTCTCTCAGCTGGGTTCTTTAGTGCTATCAAAGGTACTTTGGCACATGAAAAGCTGTTCAGATTGGTGTCTCTGTGAGGACACAATCACTGGAACATGTTACTCAGCCTGTCTTTTCATGTCTATTGGTAATTTGTATTTGTCTATTGCTAATATTACTAAGGTATTTCTTAAGGTAATGTTTCTGATCAGTAAGAAAAACATCTTATATTTAACACCCTAAAATTCTCTACTGGTCTATGTGAAAATATGGGAAGATGACTATATCTATCTCCATAATCAGAAATAAAATTCCAGATGAATTAGCAATGGAAATGTAAAAATATAATACTTAAGAACATATTTTTAGAGTTTGAATACCCTTGACTTAGGCTGGACACCCAAATATTATAAGAAAAAAAGATGAAAAAACTAGAGTATAAATATGAAAATGTTTTTAGGATAGTTATATGAATAAAGTCAAAGCAAAACACAATCTAGGAGAAATGTTTACAACACTTATAGGTGATGAGTTAATGTAATATATAGAAGGGATTTAAAATAAGTAAGAATCTTGAACAACAAATGGGAAATGAAGCAGGGTCTACCATGAGCATAATAGCCAAGCCCTGCGAGCAGTCCTAGAAGTGGAGCAAGCCAAAGGAAGATAGAGTTCCATATAACTTGTGTATCTCATCTCAGGGAGCCTCCTAGGGAGGTCTTAAGTCCTGTAACTCCCTTAGTTGTCCCTAGGAGAGCCATGCTTACCAGGATGCACACATAGGTGGCCCATTTTATCCTATGGGGTGTGGGTATATTCTTAAGGAAGAAGGCATCTTAAAACTCTGAGTCCGTGTATATGTTGAAATTGGGGATCACAGTCATAGGAGTGCACTGGAGGTGTATGGGGAGGCAAGGAAAGACCAAGGTTCCACATAGAAATAGCTGTGTACCCATTCCATGTTGTTTGTCTGGGGCTGTGTTGCTTGAAGCGAGTTTGATGCAAGGGGAGTCAGTGGAGTTTCCTGGGGAATGTGTGAGGTTGTGGGAAGAGGAGAGTTGTAAAAGGGAGATGTCAGTGGCTAAAGGTTTTTGAGGAAGGGGACACGTATGTGTGTTGTCGGGTATGGCTGCAATGGCCATGAGGTCAGGCTGTAGAATGGACATGCACAACCAACACTTGATGAGATTGGTGGTCTGGATTATGATAGTTCTTGGGGTGAGGAGGGTTGACAAGATGGTGGCTCACACCCATGTAGAAGCTAGTGCCAGAAGTTTCTGAGAAGCTTCTGAGAAGCTAGTGTCTCAGCTAGGGCAAGAAGTTCTTTATTAGTGAAGAAACCATTGGTAAGGAAGCATCAAATGATGGACTTGAGTGCCCTCTGATATTTGAGGCCTATTGGGTATTGGGGAATGCAGGGAAAGACTGTGGGATCTCTGTGGCACACTAGTATAGGAATAGCATGTGTGGTGCAAGTGGGACTGGAAGTGTCTCACAGTATGTGGTCAACAAGGGAAGAGGGAGGGACGAACTATGCATTGAGGTTAGGTTTATAGGACAAGCAGTGTGGGGAGAAAGGTGAGAGAGACATGGAGTTTTGGATGAGATCTCTCCCCATGAGAGGTATGGAGTAGGTTGGGTTTACAAGGAAATTATAAGAGAAGATCAGTGTCTGGAGTCAGCAGGGAATGGGCATGTGTAAAGGCATCATGTAGGTCATCCATCAACACCCACTGTAGGGACTTTAGATCTAATATGGAAAGTTTAGAACCCAGGAAGAACATTATATGTTTTCTCCGTGTCAGCAAGAAAAATCTTTTACGTGAGATGTCCAGAGAGACTCAGGACTCTGACAAAGATAACCTTAATGTGGGCCATGGATCCTAAGCTCTGTTGTTCTTCTTCAGTAGCAAGACCAAGCAGGTCAAGTATTTATGGATCTGGCTGTAGTGAGTTTTTCTGTGCAGGCAGGAAATTGGATGACTTAACTGCTCTCTGGTGGACAGGGTAGGCACATTTCCAGTGAGTCTCGAGCTTGTCGAGAGAACCAGATCCCAGTGGTGGCTGTAGGTTGGGGCAGGTTCATACACAATGCCCTTTGCCACACTTGAAACTGTCCAGGAAGGCCTTGGGTGGCAGCACTGTTGAGGCTTAACATTACCTTGTCAAAGTCCTATTTTGATGGGAGTCCTGAGTGTCACAGCCAAAATTTGGCCCTAGTATATAGTTAATTTTGGTTTCTATTACTGAAGACCTGGAAAGTCAGGTTAAATAAGTTTTCCTGGGAGTTTGAG